CAAAAAAATTATATATGCAAAGAAAATATATAGAAAAAATACTGCAATAATTTTCTTACCTTCTCTATCGGTACACTCAATTTATAGATATTTCATGCCAGAAAGAAAAAACAAGAGCAGGAATACCGAACCTATACCTGAATGATAAACATTACAACATGCTATGTGTGTGAAGGACATAGGTTCAAGCCTCAAGTAATATTACAATGATAGGATTAATTAATTAATGGCTCCTATCTCTGAAAATTCCGGACACAATCAGAAACAATACGACGCAGTGATAGGATTGGATAAGGATTTGAGTTCAGGCACGCCCAGTGTTGCTTTGCAGTAGGGCCACTTTTTTTAGCTCATGCGCGTGGAGAAAATAAAGTAAGAAAATCACCATAAAGGTGCCTTTTCATGCTAACGTTTGGCGCTCTGGGTATCAATCATAAAACTTTATCCCTAAGATGAAAAGTGAAAAGTGAAAAAAAAATTTCCTCATTAATTTCAATAGTAAAAATTTTCCCCAGGGGTGCGATTCTGTAAGGGGCTCTGCACAATAAAAGAAACAGAGAATAGAGAATAAGAATTTCAATCTATCAAAAATTATGTATTGTGGAATACACAGTTTCTGATAGGTTCAAATTCTTATTCTCTGTTCTTGTTTCCTAGTCTTTTTATTGTGCGGAGCCCTTAATTGTTTTTACACGCCTACCGACAGTTATTGGTATCACTGTTGTGTGTTTCGCGGGTTTTCTCCGTGTCTAGATCCATTTTTGGAAATTATCGGCATCATTGCGCAGATATTGAGTCATCTAAAAAGTATCCGCGGTATTTTGTCACTAGATATATGACCATCAACACACATCTAGTGACAAAAAACGCGGATACTTTTTAGATGATATTAAAGTAGTGCATTTTTTTATCTGAGTTGAAATGCCGACAATTTTCCTATTGGCTATTTCGACCGCCATTTCGATTTAGTCTGTAGTCCAATAAGCACTTAATATTGGTATATAGGGTATAGTTAGTAGGTCCAAAATGAAGGACCTATGCTACTTTGATATAGAATGTTCCAAAATAATCGCCAAATATTGTATTTCATGGGCAAGTAAAGCGGACTAAACTGAGTCGAAAAATCCTACATCATTTTGCAAGTTTTCCCAATAGTTAACGAGATATTAATTCTTAAAGATAGCGAATACGCGCGCTCGCTTGGTCTACTTCTGAGAAGAGTACGCCTATATCAATCGCTTGGCGCGCGGGTCATGGGAAATGGGGACTACCTGACAAAAGTACATCGCCGCAAGCCATAGCTCAGACGACGCGCTGGACTATCCTTAAAGTCACTAGATTGACAAAGTACAGCCATTGTGATACCGCGATAAAAAGATTGATTGAATTAGCATTTGGAGCCAAAATTGAAGTTGAAGTGTTATCCTAACCTGATTCTGTTATTATCAAAAATCTGGTTGCTATGTCAAAAATTGCAAAAGAGACTAAAGTTTTAAATAACTGCGCGTCATGGAGCCAAAATGGCAGCAATTCGCAGTACTTTGTTAATCTAGTGACTTTAGCTATTCCCGCTTCCTATGATCTGCGCGCCATGCAATCGGAAGACGTATAACTTCGCAATAGGCCGAGCGGGCGCGCGTATTCGGCTATGTTTAAGAATTAATCTCGTTAACTATTAGGGAAAGTTACAAAATGGTACAGGACTTTTCGACTCAGTTTAGTCCGCTCTACCTGCCCATGAAATATTTGGCGATTATTTTGGGACACCCTGTATAGAGCTTTTGTGAAAAATAGCGGAACGGAAAAAGAACGGAAAAGACAATGACTGCGTTCAGCAAGCTTAACAGTTCAGTTCAAACAGAACGCTCGCTGTTATTGGTATATTCTTTTAAATCATCCAATTGGCATTTTAGATCTGGAAGAATACATGAGTTAGAGTATAAAGTAGTGTCAAATCGCCATTTGGTGTCCTACATCTGGAATATCTATATGTCACAATTTCTCATCTTAACCTCTTCTTTCTTTAACGTTGTCTTTTTTCTATCTAACAGTAAGGATGGAATAATACTTCATGGCGGAACCAATCAACATTAGGCACATGCATTGGCGCTATTCTCTTTACACCTACTCTAACATGAATAACAGCGAGCGCTCACTCAATTTGAGTCCTCTGAACACAGCTAATGATTGATTATTCTTCTCACATTTGAGAAATTTGAAAAATACAGCAGTGAATAGTTAATTTCTTACAACTTAGGGAGCGTTTATATTGGCTGTACGTATGCTGTATGCTGTATACCACAATTTATAAACGCTTTCTATATTATGAAACAGTGCTTGCACCAATTCACTACCACATCGAAAGTATCTACAAATGGCGGCGTTTAAAGGGGCTCGAAATCTGACTAATCAGGAGTCGGTGCCCCTTATGACTTGATTCTTATTAGAGGTACTCTACAGTTGGACAATGTTTCTCTCTAAATCTCTGTCCTCTCCGTCTAGGACTGTTCATAGGATTAAGGAAGAAGTTACAACTGTGAAACGCTAAACATGGGACGTTATTATTCATAGTCCATTGTTATTTTAAAACTGTCTTAAATATGTCTTAAGATGCTAATACAGGTTCTCCGGATTGACTTACAATATCTTAAGATTGTATTTAAGACAGTCTTAAATGTAAGAATCGACTATGAATACTTGTTTCGCATCGTGAAGTTGGTACTGAATCTTTCCTTGCACAATAAATGTTCACAGCGATCGGATTTATAAACGAAATATTAATACAGTTGAATTAAAATTTAATTTTAATACGTAACATTATTCAAATCTTCAAAAGATAACTTTTACTTAAACGAGTTTAAACAAAGATATCGAAGACATTTTTTCTGATCACATTAATGCCCATTTTCACCAATGTAGATTAATTTTAATCTCGGTTCAACTTACTCTTCATCTTTTTCTAATCTCTTCATCTTTTTCTAATCTTAGAACTAAAAAAAGACGAAGACTAAATTGAACTGAGATTAAAGTTAATCTACATTGATGGAAACGAGCATTAAAACTCATCCTTAGGACCGGACTCACCAACTCTAATTAACCTAGGCTGCGTTCCGTTTCACGCATAATGCGCATGATGCATCATTTATCTTTGTTTAACATTCAGTGAATAACAAGGATAAATAATTCAACACGCGCATCATGCGTGAAACGGAACGCAATCCTAATCGGTCGATTAAATTTCAGTATTGTCAACTACAAGACTTGAAAACATTCTTTTCTGGCGGAACGTCGAGTACTCACGTGTGTATAACTTTTTCGTGATTGAAGAAATTTGCGACTAATAAGGACCCATGCTGTTATTATCGTTCTTCACAACTGCCAGATAATTAGGTCATGTTTTCAGTCTTGTAGTTGGCAATACTAAAATTTAATCGACCGATTAACTTAATCGGACCCAGAATCCAAATAACATTTGAACGGCATGGTAACCGTATATTGCAAAGTCATGAAGCTCTGAAACTTTCCACCGTACGCGCATGTTATACTCATGTGTTGAAATTCGTGAAGTCACGTGAAATAAATCATGTAAACAACACGTTGACTGCGCATTACCAGCACGTTACCAGCACGTTATGTTACGTTACAATAGAACGTTGACTGCACGACGAATTATACAAATTTTGTCTTTTTGAAACAGCACACTAAGTGCACGATCCTATTACGGCGTGCAAAATTTTTATTAATTTTCATCTTGAAACCAATTATGGGAACTCATCTTCAAGGCATCATCATCATTGACTGCGTTCAGCAAACTCAACAGTTGAGTGAGCGCCTTGCTGTTATTGATGTATTCTTCTAGATCATCCGATTAGATTTTTAAATGTTGAGTTTGCTGGCTCAATGTACCACGTTATTACAAAGAGATATATACTTATTACAAAGAGATATTACTTTATTTTTTTATTCCAAATAGTTCTCCAAATAAAACAAAAGAAAACATTTTTATAGTTCCTCTTTTTTTTTTAAAAATCAAACGATTTCTTATGGCTATAGATTATTTTAATTGTTGTTTTAAACATTATTCTAAAAGAATAATTCTATAAGTTAAATTAGAAATCTAGAAAAAGAAAGCGTTTTTCAACAAACCGATTTTCATAAGAAAATCCCAAGAGTAAACATACACTTTTTTTCGTTCTAATCAGAGAACTTTTTATTCTGAGT